GAAGAGGAAACAAAGCTAAAAAGTACTAGTCCACATTCTCTTAATAAGTTAAACTTACTTTCCCTCCCCCTGTCTACAAAAAGGGTAGAAGCAAAGGGGAAAAGAGGCTACCAAAAATTAAAAAAAAAAAAAAAAAAAAAAAGGGGGGGGGAAAAAACAAAAGGAGAGGAGAGAGCGCGCGCGAGAGAGAGAGCAGTCTGTGGTCAGAGGCTCAGAGCAGGGCTGAGTTCCTTTTAAGGGTTTAAAAGATGCAAAACAGTTCCTCAAAAGTTCCCTCTCTTCAACAGTTAGTTCAATGCTGTAGCCATAGAAACTCAAGTATATATTGGAGGAGAGATTCTTTCAGGCAGATCCACCGTCATCCGGAGAGCTGCTCAGCATGTGTTAATCCTCAATGATTATGGGTTCATCATTCATGGGCTGGCGTAGCTGCACTGCCTGGATGGGCCGGAGGATGATAGGCTTGTAAGGGCGTCTGGCGGCTCGCTTGGCTTCGGAAGAGGAAAGCAGTTTGCGGATTTTCCTGCAGACAGTAAGGAAGAAAGGAACCGATTACAGAGACCAGACACTAAGGCACTGTAGGTTTCTCGATTTCTCCAAGTGAAACCAGGCCTGCACACATAGACGCTGCTCACTAACGGGATGGGCTGACACTATTTCAGCAATGTCTTCCCCGGGGAACTTTTAAAAGTTCCCCACCAATATAAAAAAAAACCACCAATGATGAGGAAATTGCACTCCCTGTTCCAGAATCCTTCCCCTGCAGAGCAGAAGGCATTCTGGTCCAGCCTCATAGGACCAGGGTCTACTGCTGTAAACATAACAAGTGAAATAGTTATGACAGCCAGTTTCCATACCACTAATTTATTTTGATGCATGCAGACACATCGGTTGGACGAGCTGCAGGCAGCTTTGTGGGAATTTACAAAGCCAAGTTACAATCAAACCTCTTCTGGCAATGTTGGTCACTTCCCCGCTTGTTAATCCATCTCTCGCAGAGCTCTCGGACATTCCCCCGCCCCAAGCAGGTGCACACAGCTGCCTCTTCAAAAGAAACCCGTCACAGCACAAGCCAGCGACATTTGGTCTCCCATGGAGCTACGCCTCAAGGCTGAGCTGCTGCAGGGGAGCTCCCTGACGGCCACTAACCAGTGAACCAATACTGGAGCCTTCCCCCCTCCACTGGGAACACTAACTTATTTCTTATTTCTCCTACACCGCATGTACCCAACCTAGAAATGGGTAATATTCACATCTTGCTCCCTACATGTTACAAGACTAGCAACAAGTCTTACAGACACAGGAAGCTGTTTTCCATATGGAGAGAAAGTAAAAGAGAGAGAGAATGGAGAGAGGACACACTGAACTTCTAAAATTAGCAAAATAAGGTAGAAAGAGACAACATAGAATGATTACTCGTTTCTTTTTGTCAATACCAGGCTTAGAGCAAAAGGAAGTATCCCCCCTGCCGGCCCCCCCCAAAAAAAAAAAAAAAAAAACAAAACCAAAACCAAAAACCAGCAACAATGAAAAATGTGCTATGTAATTAAAATGAGGAATTCATTTCCAGAGGACGTTGTGGTGGTCAAATGCATACAGAGATTAGAAAGGAAAGTGATAAATATTCACAAGATTAGTCTACCAGTACCCATTATACAGAGCCTTCAGCTCAGGAACTGGGGCAACAAGGAGGGTCTGATAAGGAAGCACTGCCTACCCTTATAGGCTCCTACCTTAACGATTTTTTAACTTACCGTGAGAGACACAATACTGCACTAGAGGAAGGGCAGCCATGTGGCTATACAGTCTACAACTCCACCATCTATCTCCCAAAGATAATTTTTACATTTTTGGTTACTCAACATTGTTGGGGACAAATTTTTCGTTTAAAAAAGAAAAGAAAAAAACCCAACAAAACACGACAAGACACATTCATAGAAGAAACTGGTCAAAATACTCCCCCCCCGACCCCACCTCAAAATTTACCCTTCCCACTACCAGCACTGACAAATCAACAACTTCAGCTGAAGATTTTCAATCAGCTCTGGTGAGATCTGGTCATCTCTTCACTTGCTTTTTTTGCCCACTGAGCAGAACAAGCCTGCTACATAGAGCTCACACACACAGAGACACATCTTTTGTTGCTCAGTGTCCCCATTTCTCCAGCGCCTTCTAAAGCTGAAAGGCCACAGGGTGGGGAGAGGAGAGAACAGGGTGAAAAAGTGGTGGTGGGAAGAAAAAAATAAAATCTTGATGTGATGATTTTTCCAAGACTCACTTAGCTGAAGTTGATCTACTTTTAGCCAGCGGAGCTTCTTACAGTATCCGCATGTGCTCAATTAGACACGCTGCCATCAGAAACACGTCTCATAGCAGTTCTAGATTCTGATCAGGTCACTTGCTGCCTCTGCTTGCATAAATTATAAATGCCGAGTTCCTTACTGTGATGCTTGAATTCAAAAACTTATTCCTTTCAATCGACCAACTTTTCAAACTGCTCCCTCAAAGCTGTCCAGTTTTCTAGCACCGTTCTCAACAGTGCCACACAAAAGGGGAAGGAGGAGGGGTGTAAAACTTTAGGAAAACCTGCTTTCTGTGACTGAAAACACAGCCTGACCCTCAGCTGGAGGATGATATGCAGATATTGCTGCTAGATTGATTGCTACGGAGCCACACAAAGCTCAAATTGTTTCGGAGCTCACAAATAAGTCTTACATTCTTGACACTGGAATGCAGCAGATGGTTCAGGGAAAAGTTAGAGGTGAAATGCCCGACAGAAAACCCGTGCCGCTTACAATGCTACATCGCTCAGGCTTCCCTGCTTTTCAGCAGGCTGCCAAACATCTCTTTTCAGCTCTCATCAGTCAGCTAAGCAGCAAGGCTGTCAGACAAAGAAGCCCGTTCTTTCTTTTTTGTTTTTTTAAAAATGGAAGAGATAAGGTCTTATTGAGCTGATGTCTATCACTGTACTACGATTTCTGCGTTAGAGATGTGCCGGTTGCTGCAGGACTGATCTTTCCTGCCTCGGTCAGTGGTTTTGTACGAGCAGATGATTCTGTGCCCTTACAGTAAATTGTTTTCATGACCAATATCGCACTTGATGAATATTCTCACTGTTATGTACAGATCAAAGGGCAGGACCTTGTAGTAGTACTGAGACATTACTACCACAGACCTGCAGTATTTCTTCTGGGTTGGATGATAAAGATGTCAAGTGTTTTGTAGATGCAGGATTATGAAATAAGCCTTGAGCATCTAAGGACTGAATTAAAGACTGTATACCCTGTATCCGCAATGGCACATGAATTTACCAGAGCTGAAGGTCTGTAACAGGATCCCAGTACCTCTTTAGCGCTTCCCTTGAAAATAAAGTACTTCTCTCACTTTAGTTTCAATTATACAAGGGATCTCACTGCTTACTTTCACAGCGTCTCGCAGGAACAGAAAAGGAGAAGGGAAAGACAAGGTAAAGATGTAAGCTGATGTGAAATGCAGTTGCGTTAAAGGTGTCCATAGGAACAAGTCTGACAAGGAAATTAATTTCATGTTTCCTCTGAGTTCTAACGGGGGTGTTTCCTGCACTGAAATCTGATGATCCAATATATCAGCAGTTAGTAACTTGAACGTTACCAGTATCAGTTTGTCTGTGAAGCCCATCTTTGATACTAGGCCCACAGAGTAGTCCCTTGACACTTGTAAGGCTTTGCAGGCTAAGGAGGAGGTTGGGGGTGTCACGACTCTGACTATGTACTTCTTGCTGAACAAATGAATACTCAAGAGTAGCACCAAATTTAGTAGCACCAGAGGGATGAAGTACTCAAAACTCCTGACCTCCTTGGTCACTTGTAAGGGCTCAGACATCCAGTAGTTCACATGTCCATCTCTGCTAGGTACTGGAGGGAAACGCAAGTGCTTCTCTGCCTGTTGGGGCACTGATACTGAAAGTGTTGATGACTCCAGGCTTCAGACACAGACAAAAGCCAGAGAGCACCTCTTGCAGAGAGGGCTGAAAAGCAGGACTTTGCTCTGACCTTCTTCGAGGTTACCCAGGAGAGAGGCATCAGGTTCTTGGGAGGAAACCACACAAGCTTATGACTCTACCTTTCTGACCACACCCAGGAGCAGTCCTCGCTTCCTAGGAGTAACACAGTACTGGGAACACGCACAAAAAAGCTTTGCTTTAGGGATCAGGCCACACAGCTTCTATCACTCTGTCAGCAGCCTGTAAACAGAGTTTCAAGTGAAAGGAAAGTTTCTTTTACTATTTTTATCCTGTGGGCAGACTAACAAGAAGGACTAGCAGAAGCAGTACCACCAAAGGAGGAAGATGGACACTGCAAGGCTAAATCTCACCGCTACTGGTGGCAGATATAAACCACCAAAGAAATGAGGCAACGCAGCCCCCGGAAACCCTCTGTGTCACTTGCAGGTTTCAGTACTCAGACACAAGAGGAGACGTTCTGAGAGGTAATACAAGAGACTTCAGCATGCAAGAGGGCATGCAGAGCTCTATGTATAGGAGGTTCTGTTCCTCAGCATCACCCATGTGCCAGAAGGCCGCCATCCTATTACTGAGACACTGCGGTGGGACCTCCAAAGGCATTTATGGGTCTGAACCAGGTGAACTCGCCACCGCAGTCTTCCTCTCCTTATTGCCCACCTCTTACAGAAACTGCTCTGGAAGACAAAAAAATCTGCTTTCTCTGGAATGCGAGTGCAGGATTAGGCACATCAGACACGATTAGGTACATCACAGCTTTTATCCACCTAAACACAAGCACTGGTGTCTGCATTCCATTTGTAGCAACGGATCTGCTGAAGAGATCCTTGTCTAACCACAAAATCAGCTGCAGCACCCACAAGGAACACAAACCAAAAGACCTCCCCTTAAACCCTCTGAAAAGACCAAATTTCCTACCTGGTTTCTTCAGTGGCCATGTAAAAAACATCGTCTGGCGCATCAATCCAGTTCATCCTCCTCCTTTTCACTGGAGGCATGGATCCACCACGAATTAATCGGACTTTTGTTGGGTATGATTTCCCATTGAGCAGCAAGTTTCGGCTTGGTCCCTAACGTGATACATAAAAAAGTACAATTATGGACTGCAACAAACCTGCAGTAGCATGTGATAAGCACTCAAAGGAAAAGAGAATTAAAGTTTTCATATCAGCTGTTCAGAGTTTCTGGTAAATATATCCCCTCCTGCCCATGACTGAACACAGAATTCACATAAAAGCAATTGTCCACAAGCAGTAAAAGTTAGGCACCTTCAATATACAATAGGACAGCAATACTCCAGCGACAGGACAGATAATAAATAGAAAGCATTACCAATAACCTGTTGCTTGTGTCTGAAAGATGACATCAAGTTTGAAAGATTGAGCATAAGACTTAGATTTCAGCTGCTACCATAAATCTAGAGCAACTCTATTGATTTCAGGGAAGGAAATCTAGGCTACACAGCAAATCAAATATAAAAATCAGAATTTACAGTTATTCTGGGGTACCAAACTTACCCATATCCTTTTTGTTTTAGGAAGGTTAATATTTAATAATATATTAAATATGTTGTTGAAAACAAATCTAGGACTACAAAGCTTAGCAAATTCATCATAAAATCCTTTTAGCATTTAACACCACAGATTTTCCATACATAACACATTTGCTTTGCGAATCAACACAGGTATAATTTTCCAGACCCACAGTAGCCCCCTTCCATTCAACTGGGAAAACATGAGCTGTTATTAAGAGAGGTGCAGATGCAAGGGAGCAAAGGATTAAGCTTCTCAAATGCAGCTGTCCTTGATCATTTGAAGTCCAGTTCTGCTGCCTTTTTTTTAGCACACTGAGAAATCCCACTGAAATCAGTAACACTGGACAAGTCAGGAGAGATGCAAAATAAGGGCCCAGAAAATTTCATATGAATAAATTAAAGCTGGTCAGAAAACAACCCAGTAGAAATTTAATTCTGGTATTTCACAGGCCATCCTCTGAGGTCAGACCATCTCCCCAGATGCGCCCAGGCTTCCCCTTCTGCCCACGAAATGGGAAACTGAGCGTGTATGGGAGGGATGTCTGGCCTGGGAGATCCATCTCAAAAGGAAAGGTAGGGACATGAGGTACTCAAGTCCTTAAGTGTCAGGTTATGGCAAAAGCTCAACCAAATTTTAACACTTTGACTTAGAAAGGGAAGACTTCAGTCTGTCAACCAAGGAAAAAACCCCAACAAAACCCTGCATCTATCTCACTTGTATCTGAGAAGAAAACAAAAAATGATTGATGACTTTTTTTTTTTGACCAGCCTTAATCAACTGTGCTAGCAAGATCTGCTTTTTGTAGAAAATTAGGGCTTTAGAGCTAAATAAACAAAATCCCACCCTTTAAAATCCTAAGCTCTTTAAAGCTGTTATATACAAGTGCAATAACGATTTAATTTCTTTGTTGCCCAGCTTCATGTTATACAAGACAACTTCGGCACCACAGCAGACCGCTGAAATACTTCAAGAATTGCTTTTATATTTGAGGTTTATTAAGGAAAAGGTTTCAAATAAAAGGCTTTTCTGTTGTTTTTTTTTACCCTCTCCAGATTTCTCCAAGAAAATCCTTTCGTTAATTTTGCGAAGGATATTTTCTCTGCATGTGCTACATACACAGGAGAACAACTCCAGAGAAAGTTCTTGGAAATACTTAGAAGGGGCACCCTTGTGCTTCCGGGTTGCCTTTTCTCTACCTGCACAGAGCAATCTGTCTCAAATGGTACATCCTGAAAGGTGGACCTTTAACTTTCAGTTCAGTAGCACACTTTATCAAGCAAACAGAAATCAAGGCAGTTCAGGGGTTTCACCCTAAAACACCTAAAAAGTGTTAGGTCATCACAGATTTCTCCCACTGTACTGAGTTGGTTTATTCAGCAGACACAAACAAGTAGCCAGTCTCCTCAGTGACAAGAAATGAAGCTGAATTCAAGGACGAATACAATTTACCACTTCATATCAGATACTGAAGTAACAAACCAAATGAATGCTTCGTTATTACAAGCAGACTAGCATGCTCAAGATATGGCCTACCCTCATGATACTGCACACTATCCGAGAGCATTATTAGATTTAATAATGCTTGTGATCACTATTCAGTGACCATCAGTCATACCTGCTGCTGATTGACCCATGTCAGAGTGACTCTACTGACACTAATACATCGTGGCAGTTCACCTAATGAGGCAAGCTCCACTTTATCAACACCAGAAGATCATTTTTCGGAAAAAAAAAAAAAAAAAAAAAATTATGCTTGAAGTTCTCTCCCATATGAGTCTCCCATAAGCCATGCGTAAGGGGGGAAAGTGATGCACAGCCTTTGCGCTGGCCCCTTCACACCGAAGTGAATTTCATGAGAAAGCATTTTGCCAGAGATGCATCAATCAGACTGGCTATTTGCTTCTGTCCTTTGATAAAACTCAGCATAATGGATGAAAGGCTAGGAATCATTTTTACTCAAAAAACAAATAAAAAACAAAAAAGAAATAACAAGAAATCTACCAACTTGCACACCAACTTCCTAAAAAAAAAAAGAGAAACTGTTTTCCAAACAAACCCTTCCATCAGTTAAGCCTTCCTCCTTCAGTGAAACACATTCCACCTAGAAACACATCCCAGAACTTTGCTATAAACAGCCACTCAGTTTCTGTATGAGCAGAAACAAAATGTTCCATTCAAAACAGAATCTCATTTATATATAGATAGATAGTTTTGAGGTTTAAATTATATTTAACCATTTCAATGTTTCATATGCCCCAAAATAATAATTTTTTAAAAACTTTTCAATTAATTGGGAAGTACGACCAGCTGCAAACAGCAAAGACGGAAGTGAAACACTAGGGTTTAATGGGGTGTTCTATCTAGCACGGGTTAATAATTCTTCTTTTCCCTGTTTTGGTTAAATGAACATTCTCTTACCATTTGTCTGGTTTGTCCGTGGTTAGGCAGACCTAACAAACAGGAAAGAGAATAGAGCTGGTAAGACCATTGCTTTTCCAAGACAGAAAAAAGTACAAAATCAAAACACACGCAGCTATGATTGCAACTGTGTTGTTTTGCTAAAACAAGAGTTGTCTACCAAACTAACTTCTCCCCTCCTTGAAAGGTAACTGAGAAAAGAGCTTCCTTAACAACATGGTTTGAAGAGCAGAGCCCCCAAGTTAAAAACACTCCATTCGCTCAGTCTTTTCTCCGTTTACTCACACCTTTCTTCAAACTACTGCTAAAAGTACACCTCCTCTTTCAGATCTGAGGTTTTCCTCGCGTCTTGGGAAAAATCTGGCGTTCTGTTTTAGTTTTGGAGGAATTTACTGACATCAAGAAGGAGAAAGTGGAAGGTATTATACACTGTCAAGACAGCAACAAATAAAATCTTTCCTATCATCCTTGGATCCCCAGGGAACTCTTCAGCTCAGACGTTAGCTACA